AAGTATTAGTGTAAACCTTTTAAGTAATCAGCAGAAAATATTGTTCATAAGCTTGGCAATATTTTGGTTATTTTGATAACAGGGTACCTGCAAACAGGTCAAAAGGTAGCGAAGGAATTTTTTCACGGTGTGTAAATTAAATAATGAAGAAAGCTTTTGTTAAATTTCTGTGTGCCAGGTATAGCAATTAAAGGCACAGAGCTCCTGATGACAAAATCCAGCAGCCTGCTCCATTTTTTGTTTCCCTGTTCTTTAGTATCAATATTTGTGATTCTTTATGGAAGTGGTAGTACCCAGGATTAATTTGCAGTGAATGTTTTTTATGGAGGAAACAAAAATCTTCTGTCTGCTTATTTTTTTAAAAAAAAAACAATTAAACAATTCTAGAAGAAGCAGCTGTGAATGGTAATAATGTTTAACAACTTTAGTCTAAATGTGCTTGCTAGTGGCAACTATGGTAGACTTCTTGAATCAATGGGATTTATGTTAGTGTTGATTTGCCATTCAGCCATTGGGACTTGCAATTGGATAGAAACTTCAGGGTTGCCAAATTCACACCAGTGCTGTGTTTTCATTTTTGTGGCAGTTTCAAATACAGAGGCTCAGGCAACGAGGCTTTTTTAAAAAAAGAGGAAATAGTAGTTCAGAGCAGTGGCAGGAGCACAAACACGCCTGCTGAAACTCTTTATGTTCATGCGAAACTATTAAAACACACACAAGTTTCCTTCATTTTGAGAGTTGGCAGCCCTTCCCCTTTAGAAGACATGAAGCATTTAGAGGGCTGTCTGTTTGTTCTGAGTCTTTATTGATTTGCAGCGGAAGCCATGGAAAGAAAATTGACTTTATTGGCTTGGCTTTGTAATGAAAAAAAATCTTAGCTTTGTTTGTTTGTTTATAAATAATGTTTGAATTCTTGGGTGAGTATCTTTATTGATGCCCAGAAACCAAAGGATTGATCAAAGTCTCATTGGACACATCTGATGTGGGGATGAACAATTGTGATGTGTTGTTCCTCATCTGATGTGCTTACTTGCATTCTCTCCAAATTTCCACATATAAGAATAGATATACTCTTCTATTCTTGTAACATTCCTTTCCCGAAACCAGTGGTTGAAATTTAATGTACCCCTACTGCTTCCTGAACACTTTGAAATGTTCAGTAATATTGTCGCAGATCAAGCACCAGAAATTGAGGTTTCGTATTGCACCTCACACGAAAAAATCCTCTTTTTTTTAAAGGAGGTGGCACATTTATTTGCAAGTCACCATGTGTGAATCATGGCTGTAATGCATGATATGACTATTTCACAGAACGTCATGGTAGGATATCACCCCATAATACAAGAATAATTTCATTACATCTGATGGGATATTATAACAGTATTCCTCACAAGTATTCCTCCTATCCTTAGAGTTTCTACCAGGGCAATGAAATCCAGGCTCTCAAATTCTAGCAGTGTGCAAGAACTATAAAATGAAATAGGTGAGGCCCATATGGCTTCCTTTTAGAAAGCTCTTCTTATAAATTGCTCTGACCATAAAGCCTAGGCAAGGCAGCTGCTTTGTTCTGACAGCTGTTTTTCAAACTCATCATAAGGGCTGTTTCAGAATTACCTCATCTTATTATTGTGTCCATCTGTTGTATCTTCTGTATTTGAAATATAAAGCACTCAGTGAATGCAATACTTTTCAAGGTGCCTCTGGCTTGCAAATACTGTATATAAAGACAAATGGGCACTAGTATTTTTCATGCACAGATAGGCAAAAATGTGCTCTCTAATGCCTTTGCACATCTTTTTTGTTGTATCTGTGAAGTTTCAGGATATGTGTGTTGCTTTCATAAACAGCAGTAAATTCACTTGATCAATTTGAAAAAAAAACTTCTGGAAATATTAGTGGAATCTATTGTGTCTGCTGTGATCATAGCTTCTGCAGGTTAAGGAATAATATGATTTTTTTCAGTGCAAACATAGAACTTGTAGTGTTGATCATGATCAAAGAGTGAACCAAGGAAGCTCACTATTTTCATTGACAACTATTCACAGGAATGTCACATGGAACAATAAATGTATTGTTTATATGTATCTACTGTGTAGCATCTGAACACATTCCCTCATGTTTGCATGTCCCATCATTCTTCATATGGTTGTAAAGGTATCACATATATCAGTTGACTGTTTTTCTGACATGATTAGTGACGCTGTTTCAGAAAATTACACAATCCTTCTGCATAACATTGCCCAGAATTCTATTGGTGTTCACATTAAGTTTGCATAACTTACTGCAGCTATTTGATGGCCAAGGGGCATGTTGGTTGCATTTCAGGTGATTCGTCTAATTGCACAACTGATCTGAGCACTGCCATCATGTCAGCTAACCACAATTAACCCTGGCAAGTTTTTCAAACTCTAATAAGATTCTAGGTAGTAGCTTTTTCTTGAGTGAAAATATGTACAAAGAATAGATTTGTGCTACTAAACTCAGTTCATTGTAAACCGAAAGAGATGTGGATTGAAAGTAGAAATACAGTGGTGCCTCGCTTAACGAGCGCACCATTTAATGAAGAATCCGCATAGTGACCTGTTTTTTGGGGTCGCAAATGCGATCATTTCTGCACCCGGCGGCCATTTTGGGAACCGCTGGTCGGCGGTTCCAAAATGGCCACCGGGTGAAGAAAATGGCCGCCCGCACCATTTTCGTGCCCTGCCCCCGCTTACCAATGGCACGAAAATGGTGATGCTATGGAGAAACTTCACAGAACGGTGAGTTTAAGAGCCATAGGAACGCATTAAACTAAGTTTAATGCGTTTCTATGGCGTTTTCCATTCTGTATAGTGATGTTTCCCCATAGCAACGGTTAATCCAGAATGGATTAACCTCGCTATGCGGGGCACCACTGTATTAGCAGGGAAGAATGCAAAAAGACTACAGTGGTACCTCGACTTACAAACATAATTGGTTCCGGAACTCCAGTCATACTGGAAATGCTCGTAAGTCGAAGCACCATTTCCCATAGGAATGCTTTGAAATGCAATTAATCCATTCCGGCCGAAGAAAAAAATAACCCAAAAAAGCCAACAACAAAAAAACTGCAAGATCCATCAGAAACACAATTAATCTATTCTGGCCAAAGGGAAGGGGGGAAGAAAAGCAAAGAAACTGTGCAAGACCCTTCAGAAATGCAAAAATAGCAAAGCAAAAAGCAACAAACCATGCAAGACCTATCGGAAACGTGATTAATCACTTCCGGCTGAAGGTGAAAAGAAAAAAGAAAAGCAAACAAACTGTGCAAGACCCTTAGGAAAGGCCAAAAAAAAGCAGAGCAAAAAGCAAACAAACCCTGCAAGACCCATCGGAAATGGGGGAAATAAACACCCAAAAGCCCCACAAACAAACCCTGCAAGACTCATCACAGCAAAGAAACATAATCCCACCACCCAGCCCAAAACCACGCTGCAAAACCCATCCAGAACAGTTTTTAAAATGTAGAAAGCAGCACCTTTCCTTACCAGGCAGTCCAAAGCCTCCTCTGATCGCCCTCACTCTCTATGAAGAATGCAACCAAGAAATGAGAAGACTGAGACTTGGAAGTGCAGCGATGAAGAAACTAGAAAAGATAATCAAGTGTAAGGATGTGTTATTGGAGACCAAAGCCAAGATAATCTACATTATTGCATTTCCGATTATTATATATAGATATGAAAGCTGGACATTTAAGAAAGCTGACAGGAAAAAATTGTTTTGTTTGAAATATAGTGTTGGATGAAAACATTGAAAACAGCTGGATATTAGATAGAAACTGAGGCTATTCTGCTTTGGACATATGATGAGAGACAAGAGCTGCTGGAAAAGACAATAATGCTAGGAAAAATTGAAGACAGCAGAAGATCAACAATGAGATAGATTGACTTCATAAAGGAACCTATAGGCTTGAATTTCTAAGAACTGACCAGGGCTATTAACAACATGATATTCTGGAGGTAATTTGTGGAAAGGGTCACCGTAGATCAGAAGTGACTTGATGGCACCTAACATCAAAGTTTGCTAACCCGCTTTATCATCAGATCTTTCTCCACAAACTACATATCTTTCTCTTTACAATACTTGATATTAAAAAGTCTCTTCAAGGAGTACCACAATCCTTACCTAACAGGTAAAGGTGATTCCACTCTTGAGCCTCTGGTCCTTGCTCAGATAAATTCACAAATGAAAAGCTTTACGCTCCTTTAAAATGCTGCTGGAAAAAAAATCTATATCTCCATGTGGGTTGACATCAATATTCTCAACATCTTTATCTTTCTAGGTGCAATGTAGAACAATGTTCAGGCTTACTTGACAAAGTCATTTGTTTGAAATGCAGATGGGAGTTTTCAAATGTTTCAATCAATACTTAGTCCTTTTGTCTCCTCAGAGAAAATATTGATACCCAAGCATCTTTTTCCCAGTTTTCAGAAAGAAGGAAATCTTCATAAACTAAGTATCTGAATTAAAGATACTTCTTCAGGTCGTCTTATTTGTTGCAATACAGTTCTGTGGCTGTGAATTTAATATAACAATCAGAATTGCTGTGATGAGAAGTTCTTCTCTCTGTGCCTTCTTCATCCGTTTATAGCAACAATATCCTTCCCCACTCCCCAACCCCGTGAGATATACAATAAAACCTTCATTTGAATCATTGGCCACTTCCTCATTCAATTGATTATCTTACAAAGTAGCATTCTTAATTGCCGTGACTGTAAGGCAAAGACAGGAAAGATCCACACACTCACTGTCAGTCAGCCCTCTTTGATTTGGCATCACTACAAGGAAGTTCTTCATCCTGATAGTTCATTTTTTTCAAAGATCATTTCAGTTGTCTACCTTTCTTAAGGTCTTGCTCCCATTGGTTTTATTGTGATATCTATAAATGTATGTTGTCTTCTCTAATTTGCTTCCACTCATTCCAAATCTGAGAAATGTTCATGGCATTGGCGGTATAACATAAACTTGGTTTCTTCTAGTGGTAGACCTGACAGTCCGGAGCCATGACGACTCACGTAACACTGGAGGATGCTCTGTCCAATGTGGACCTACTGGAAGAGCTGCCATTACCTGATCAGCAGCCATGCATCGAGCCACCTCCGTCGTCTATTATGTACCAGATGAGCTGCAGCTCTTCACACACCATATACGTATTGGAAGAACTGCATAATGCATTTCTATGGTTCATCGTGTTTCAAAGATAAGCTGAAAATGTCGTTATAGGGGAAAAACATAAGAAAGTAATTCTAGAAGAGGTAGCCGTGTTAGTCTGTGCAAGCATATCAGGTAGAATTCAAAGAAACAAAACAAAACAAAAACAGAGAAAAATATGTGACACCTTAAAGACTTATTATATTTTAATGTGAGCTCTTGTGAGCAAGTTGTCTTTGTCACACATACTAAGAAAGTAATTCTAGAAGAGGTAGCCGTTCAAGCATATCAGGTAGAATTCAAAGAACCAAAACAAAACAAAAACAGAGAAAAACATGTGACACCTTAAAGACTTATTATTATATTTTAATGCGAGCTCTTGTGAGCAAGTCGTCTTTGTCACACATACGGGAAAAAAAATGAGATTCTGGATTTACTTGTGTAACAGGTATTTCATCCAGTGTTTTATTCCCACCCCCACATGTCTAACAATGTGGCTGTATCTTCAAAAGTTTACATTAAAATATAATAGTCATTAAGGTACCACATGTTTTTGTCTTTTTTGTTTGTATGTTTCTTTGGGTTTTGACTGGTAGGACAGTAAAGAAGAGATGGAGTTAAAACAAGTAAAAAAAAAAGCCTTGATGACATGACTAAGATTTAATGTTAATTCATAATTTAGAGTTATGAAGATGAGTCTAATGTCTCCCTGGGCTTTTATGTCCCATCCCTCCCCCTCAAAGGAGGAATTTGAAAGTTTGTGCATCTGTTCTGCTTTTATGAGTCACAGCTTTTTCTTTTCTAGTATGGTTGCACTCTAACAGTTTGGCTAATGTGTGCAGAGCTGGTTTCTTCCAACATGCCATTGTTAAGGTAAATCGTAATTGGAGTTGGGCTGACACATTGAACTGTGGTTAATTGAAAACAGCAGCAAGCGCTTCGGCTTCCCTTTTAGAGGAAACAGATTTTAAAAAGGCAGCAGCCAGTGGGGTAGACTAGGCTTATCCATCTAACTGAAAATTGCAGTTCTGAATTATATCTTAATACAGCTCATGATTAAACTGGTTTTTTTTGCATGAATCTGTCTGTCCATCTATCCATCCATCCATCATCTGTCTGTCTGTCTGTCTGTCTGTCTGTCTGTCTGTCTGTCTGTCTGTCTGTCTGTCTGTCTGTCTGTCAGAAACCATTTATGGAAGGAGTATTTGTAAATTTAGAAAAAAAACCAAGCAATGGCAAAATATTTAGCTCACATATGTAAAGTGGTATAGCCATAATCCCTTATGTTGGTGGTTTGTGTCCAAAGCATAGACTTTAATCAGCACGCAGAGTATGGTCTTCTGTTAAAAGTGGTTAGTGCTGCACTGATTGATCTGCCACCTGCCTTTAATTTTTCCTGCTAGTTTTAACTTTAACAAGAACATACATAAAAACCAGGTGTTCTGTTTCCTGTTTGGGCCTTAAATGTTTATAGCAAAGCAGGCAACTGAGCAGATGAAGCAGAGGAAACAAAATGAGAGCCATTCATTCGTTGTGGTTTCTTTTTGTTTTGATTGTCCAGGAAGTGAAAAGTAATTGGGCTTACAGCAGGTTTGATTCCCGTTTTTAATACCATTTTGGTTTGCCATCTTCCACATTCAAAGGGAAATGTTTGATACCAAGCATGGACAAAGCAGTTGAAATCTTTTCTGTATTCCCATCCTGAGATTCATTGGTTATCATCCTTCAGAGTGTTGCTGTCCGTATTTATTGCTGAAATGTGTATTGGATTAAGATTTGGATGTACATTCTAAGCCATTTGTAATTGTTTCACAATCTGTGTTCAGACTGCTTCTGCGTCTATTTTGTGAAACATGCCAGTTGTGTTGAGGCTTTTAATTCCAACTCTCCAGTGTTGCTGGCTGCGTAGAGAGTGTTCTCCAGTAATGGAGCTTCTCGTTCAAGACGTCGGTGAGCATAATCTTTCCTTCTCATGATTAGCCCACAGGCTCTCAAATGCCACATAGAACTTACACTTCATGTTTTCTTCATATCACCCAGCATAATTCTCTTTGCTGGCGAATTATATGAGGTGATAAAAAGCAGTGATCTTATAGTGGTGAAATACTACACAGGTGTACTGACCTTGTCAAATGATGAGTAGAGGTGCCATATGTATAACCTAAAGTTTGAGTTCACTCAATTTCCAATGCAGTAGCAATAATGTTTGTCATTTGATTTTTTTTTCCCCAAGGCCAACTTTGACACGAATTTTGAAGACAGAAATGCTTTTGTGACTGGCATTGCCAGGTATATTGAACAAGCTACAGTGCACTCAAGCATGGTAAGTGTCAGGGGGTGATACCTAGCTGGCTTTATGTAAAGGAGGGCTTGGTGTATGCTTTGCTTAGTTTTAATGTGTTGCCTTTTCCCCTGAAATGATCAGCACTGTCATTCTGTATTTCAGAATGAAATGCTGGAGGAAGGGCATGAGTATGCTGTGATGCTTTACACATGGAGAAGCTGTTCCAGGGCCATTCCCCAGGTAAGGTGTACATTTAGCCTCTGATCCAATGAATTCAGAGAGAAATTAGAGGGAAAGAATATGGAGAATTTCATCCTGATGACATCAGCTTTTGCCTGATTTTGGAATCTTAAGTAGAGTTCAATCTGCTTAAGTGGAGTTCAATCCATCTACATGAATAGGAGGGCCCCAGAGATCTCCGAAAGTAGGACTAGGGGAGAGCTGGCTCCAGTCACAGCTGCCGACATTCTATTTTTAAAATTATTATTATTATTTTATTTATGCCGCCCACACTACCCAAAGGTCTCTGGGTGGCTTACAGCAATTTAAATATAATAAAAGATATAAAGATAAAACAATTAAAATACAGTGTTCTAAAAATTGCCATCAGGACCCACAGTTGATATTATTTCAATTACAAACCTTCTGGAACAGGAAGGTTTTGACCCAGTGCCAAAACGTCATCAACGTCGGTGCCAGATCTCAGTCAGGAGGGCATTCCATAGTCTGGGGGCAGCTGCAGAAAAGGCCCTTTGTCTACAAGCCATCCGTCTAACATCCTTGAGGGATGGCTCTTTCAAAAGGGCCCCCTAGCTAGATCTTAATTGCCAGGTAGGTTCATATGGAAGGAGGCGGTCCTTCAGGTATCCAGGGCCCAAGCCGTTTAGGGCTTTATATGTCAAAGCAAGCACTTTGAATTGGGCCCAGGCAGCAACTGGTAGGCAATGTAACTTGAATAGAATCAGCCTGATGTGTTCCCTAGCGGCCCCACCACTCACTAACCATGCACCTCGATTCTGAACCAGTTGCAATCACTGGACTGTCTTCAAAGTCAGTCCCATGTACAGCGCATTGCAGTAATCTATACAGGATGTTACCAGTGCATGCATAACTGTCACGGACTCTACTCGTCCAGGTAGGGCTGTAGCTGGTATAATTTCCACAGCTGAAGGCAGGCGGTAGCTGGTATAATTTCCGCAGCTGAAGGCAGGCGCCCTGGTCACCAAGTTCACCTGGGCTTCCAGAGTTAGACTCTGGAAGTCCAGGAGCACCCCCAAGTCCAGGAGCACCCCCAAGCTGCAGACCCTGTCCCTTAGGGGGAGTGTAGCCCCATTCAGGGCAGGGAAATGGCCTTCCAGCCTGTCCAGCGAAGCACCCACTATAACATCACTTCCGTCTTGTCTGGATTGAGTTTCAGTTTATTAACTCTCATCCAGTCATTATCAGGTCCAGACACGAGTTCAGCACAGAAACCGCCTCACCTGCATTGGTGTAAACCGAGAGGTAGAGCTGAGTATCATCAGCATATTGCTGACTCCTCAGCCGAAACCTCCTGATGACCTCTTACAACAGTTTCATGTATATGTTAAACAGTGTGGGGGACAGTATCGAGCCCTGAGAAAACCCATGACATAACATAAACGCCATGGGGCAGAACAGCTATCCCCCAGCATCACCTTCTGGACGTGGTCTGTCAGGAAGGAGCGGAACCACCGTAAAGTGGTGCCCCCAACTCCCAACCCAGCTAGCCTATCCAGAAGGACACCAGCCAGCCTATTCAGATGGTCTGCCCTGGAGCAAGTAGATTAATCTGTTCCTGGGTACCTGGGACAATGCAGAGAAAATCTGCGTTCTTGTGGACCTAATTTTGGTCATCAGATGTTGCTGAAGATAGTGCAGCCTTTCTCTCCCTTGCACAGCCTTCAGTCCGGGCCTTTTTTGGGGGGTAGGGGATGTCAGGGCTGGCTGGTGGAACTGTGTTGATCTGTTCACAGACCAGGATTTCACAAATATGTATTGCCAGGACTCAGCATGTCTCTCTATGTGACTTTTGTCATCATAGTTAATTTGCTTTTGTTTACAGCTATCAATAGTAAAATATTGAGATTTTAAAAAACATTGTTCAGATTTTGTCAGGAGAACCCTCGAAGTAACATAGACAACCAACAGCATAATATTGCATTCTACAACATTAGAGTTTTCTTTGTGCTTTTGTGGCTGACGTTTGTTCATCAGAATTTCAGAAGAGCCAGAGATAATTGACAAATGAGGAACAGCAAAGATAACAAAAGACCTTTCGGGGAAATTGTTTTTATGTTAATCAGTGTATATACATATATGTACATGTACAAATACAGACACAAAATTTGAGGGAGGAGAATTAGTAAGGTTAACCCATAGAAACACTGAAATGTATTTAATTAAATTTAAAGCTCCCTAACGATGCAGTCTTATTCATGAATACTTCTGAGTAAGTCTTGTTGAAGTTAGTGGGACTTACTTCTGAGTAGATATGTATACGACAATGCTACATGTGTAAGTTTAGCAGTGAAATAGTATTAGGAAAAACTGCAATTTACATTGCTAGAACTATAGCTCATTTCCCCTAAGTGTTCAGAGCAACCTATAATTCCTGTAGGCAATCTGATTCAAGAAACCAACCACAAGCTGAGCAGCTCAGAGTTGAAGAAAGTAGCTTACGTACAGCAACCTATAGTGAAGTGAAATCTGAATTAGGGATTTTCTACCTTACAGCTTCTTCTCTGAATCATGGCAGTTTCCATCAGATGGCCACAGGACTTTTAGCTTTGTGTTTCTGTTCAATCAACAGGATTTTGATTCTGCCGTAGTCTCACTGGTTGCATTTATACATATCAATTATGCCTTAAATGGAAATGCTCCTTCTTTATTGACATTTTCTATTTTGATAATTATCCAGGATGAGTATCTGAAGAATCTCAACATAGCAGGTTCATTTCGTAGCAGAATCTTTACAAAACATCAGTTTCAGAGTTGTGTGAGGAATATATTTTCCAAGATAATTCAGTATGACACCAGGTTATTCTATGTACAGTCTTGGAAATGATTTAATCCAACAGATAGTGCAACTGTTGATGCCTTTAGAGATTATGTAGTGAATCAAAATTCTTCTCTTGGGTCTATGGTTTGTTTCTCTTATTTTTGTGTTGCCTTTATACCTACCATCTGAATATTTAGTTACTTCCTGTAAATTTCTGATCTTTTGCTCTAGTTCCTTTGATTGCAGAAGCATGCTTTAGGCAGATGTTTAATGGCCACACTGAAAAATAATGCTACTTAGGAGATAATACTGTCCTTGTGTATGAGTTATTGAGTATGTGGTTCTGTTTTTCTGTCTTACTGCCATGTATGCTACATTTCAGCTATTCTCATTATATATTTGTAAGTTAATTTATGCATTTATTTAATTTTTTTTCTCTGCCTTATAGAGCAATTGAAAACAAAACACTTAAGGAGACATTTACTTACTTACTTACTTACTTACTTGCTTGCTTGCTTGCTTGCTTGCTTGCTTGCTTGCTTGCTTACTTACTTACTTACTTACTTACTGTCCCATTAGTACAATGCACTATTCTGGGCAGTTTACAATGTAATAAAATGGATACAACAATGAACATATTAAATGAACAGTGAAAGAAGTTAAAACAGTCAGAAAATTAAAAACCAATGGCACCAAAAAAGCACATTTTCTCTGTAAGAATTGGACAAGAGATGTGACATCAACCAGGGTCATTGTGGAAGGCATCCCTAAAGTGTTTTGAGCTGCCTTCTAAACATTAGCAGGGAGGGGGGTCTGGCATAGCTCCACCAGGAATTGTTTCCACAGCATCAGTTCCACTGACAAGAAGGCCCGGCTTTTGGCCCTCTTTCAGAGTGGCAACCTGGAGGAGCATTGCCTTGAAGGATCATTGATTTAAAAAGCATTGTAAGGTTAAAAACATAATCTGACAAACTAGCAATTAGGTAAGTAACCATTGAACAAAATTGTTTTCTATGTGCCATTGAATTAATTCCTTCCTACTTAGGGCAGTCCTTTTTAGGATTTTCTTTTTCTTTTCTCTCCCCCCACCCCAAAAAGAAATGGTTTTCTACTTTCTTCTTCAGGTCATGCTCTAGGACTGTGCTACTTGCCTAAGGTTACCTAGGCTGCCTTGTCTCCCAGGAGGCACAGTGGAGAATCAGATTCCCCAGCCCAACCCTTGGTTGTGGAGCTAGATTTTCCAGCTCTCTGAGATATCCAGACAACTGAGTTGTCTTTAGGGGCTACTTAAAGGGCTCAAGAGAGGAAGAAAACAACATTCTTGAAAGAAGAAAATCACATGCATAGAAATCCAGTTATTTACCAATCTGGTAAATTTTAATGTCAGGTCGGAAAGCAGGACCTTTGAGAGAAATCATAGATCTCGTTCATATGAGCTTAGATCACCAAACATCAGGAAAATCTCTTGTTTTGTTATTTGCCAAGGAGCAGCAGAAAGTATACAATTTGGAAGAATAGTGTCTTTTTAATGTGTTTTTCTTTTTGCAAAGAAAATATCTCACATTTTAGTGAAATGTTTTAGCAATATAAATTGAAGTGATTTGATTTAAAGAATAATAGAAAACTGAAGAACCAAAAAGGAGTGAAAATATGCAGTGTAATATGATGAATGTGTACTGTCAAATTATAAGGAAAAACAATGAGGACAGTTGAAACTCTGTACTGTACATGGAGTACCATTTTGATACAAATTACTCTTTACTGAAGTATAAAATAAGCTTTTTATAGTCACAGCTAATTTCCACTTTTAAATATGTAGATAGGCACCTCAGGATCTCAGTTCATATATCTGATGGAATATGTTCTTGTCCATGAGATTATGCCATAATAAAGTTTTTTTATTTTTGTTTGTTTGTTGTTTTTTGGCTGCAAAAAGTCTAACACACCAACCCCTCTGAAAATTATCTGGCTTTATGATCTTATGCTAATCATGAGTGTTCTTTTGTCCATTAGGACTACTAATAAAAAGGTGTTTGTTCTTGAACTTCAGGTAAAGTGTAATGAACAGCCAAATCGAGTAGAGATTTACGAGAAGACAGTGGAAGTCTTGGAGCCAGAGGTTACAAAGCTCATGAAGTTCATGTATTTTCAGGTCGGTAATGTCTGGATCATTGACTTTGCAGTTCCAGGGGGTGCCAGAATTGAAAATAAAGAACTAAAAAAAAAACCTAGCAAAATACAGAGACGTGGCAATTGAAACAACTCACTTGTGAACTACAGGGAACAAAATCTAAAAATTTTACACAGCAGTACAAGCAGTTAACAGATCTCAGAAATACCATAAGAGCTCCAAAATGTGATATTAGGAACAGCATACATA